GTGGACTGCAATTCAACCACACATTGGCCAAAGTTTCAGGTACTCATTTGTACTTTGCCGTGTGTTCCTTAATCTCTACTATCAGAAAATTGGGTAAGCTGATATGGAAAGTTCCAGATCCCCAAATATTAGATTCAATGTGTTTTCAATATTTTTTTTCACAATTTGGAAAAACTATGATAATTTTGGAATCATTCACCCCAAAATGATGAACCTAAGTCTCCACTCACAGCTTGGCAACTATCTCTGAGATGAATTTACTTTAATATGAACCCATTTTGCTGAAGACGAGAAAGTAGTAAATTTGACAACTACCATAAATCTATGCACACAAACTCTCCAGACCATTTATGCCATTTATACCTTCATCTCATATTTAAAAAATGAATGTGGTAGGAGTATAGATCAGTCCTAGATCCTTGCTTATCATAAGTAAGGGCTTGAATTCCATCTGAAGAACTACAGTGTGCGTGTGTGTGTGGAGAGCAGATTAGGACTAGCTTACAAATAAAATAAGACTGATTACAGTGAGTCCACCATATTCTGACCGCCATTTCACAGTGAGCCAGCTCCACATGCTGTTAGTATGCAGGATGGCCCCTGGCAGTGCCCCGCTCTGTACTCAAGTCTGAGTCTGTGTCATCCTTTTGCTAATGTAATTGTCTTGAGGCTAAGGCCAAAGGGTTGGTAATTTTTTTTTATAAAGTACATACTGACAGAACAAGAAACTTAATTCTGCCTTTCTTTTAATGGATTACAGGAAATGTGTCACTTAATATTAAAATGTGGGCTTAAAATTTTATATAACTTAACAAAAATGTTAGTGTATTATCAGCATCTCCAAAACCTTCTTTACCTTCTCTCACCTACTGGGAAGGGAACCCAGGTTTTCCAGAGTTCTAACATCAGGAGTTGATTTGGGATCCATGAAATTCATGTCAATAACATCATACATTCTAAATGCATACTTACATCATTTCATTCACTGAAAATTATGTTTGTAAGATTCTTTTGTACTGCCGCATGACCTGCAGGTTTTTACTCTCATTGTGTATGTTTCTAATGCATATATTTACCCAAATTCCTTTACCTTTTTTTTCTTTCTGCTGAGGGACTGTTGCATTGTTTCCAAATAGAAAACTATGATTGTTCTTTCAGTTTATATGTGTATCTTTCCATGATATAGACCTAAGAAATAACGTGGACACCCACAAGAGTAGGTATATCCACATTTGAATTTAATAGATATTGTCAAACATATATCCAAATGGGTTGTACCAATCAACACCATCACCAGCTGCATTTGAGCATTCCATTCACTCCACATCTCTATTAACATTTGGCATTGTTATACAAATTTACAACACTTGTATTTTGTAGGAGATGTTCTTTTCTATTGTGATTTCATTTTCATTTTGTTATGTCTGGTGATACTAAACAGTATTTAATTAACATCTTGACCATTTAGATATTCTCTTTTCTGAGGAAACTTTCAGAATAATTCTTTTATTTGTGTTGTTTGATTATGTTTCTATTGACTGGACAACTTTGCATGTCCCCTTACAGCTCTCTGTATAATCTTCACACAATCCTTTATCTGATGCAAATATTACAAAGACATCGATTTAGCAGCTTTTCACTCATTTGTGGTAATGCATCATTATAAAAATACCTTGTCCACTCAAAAAGATTGGAAAACTTGCTGGACCTCACAGACAAGTTAATATTATAACTTGAGGTCACTTAAGCCATAAGTCTAATGTCCTACTGTGTACTCAGTCTGTTTATTTAACCTGCTTTTAAGAGAACAACGTAACAAATAACCTTATTGCTTTGGATTTCCCATTTAAACAGTTTTACTACCTAAATTGATGCAGAACGGCTATATTGTTATGTACCCTTCTATGCCCCTTAGTCAAAGAGCAATGGATATGTGCTTGCATGTGTATGCTAATAAATGCTGGAAAAAATACAGGCTGGTATTGTGGAATAATCTTTTTGTACACTGTGAAGATGTGTTGCTCCCATTGGTTTAATAAAGAGATAAATGGCCAATAGCAAAACAGGAAGAGGTGAGGTGAGACTTGCGGACAGGGAGAGAGCTCTGGGATGAAGAAGGGCAGAGTCACCAGGAAACACAGGGAGAAGCAAGATGAGCATGCTGTGCTAAGGAAAGGTACCAAGCTACTTAGTAGAATATAGATATGGGTTAATTCAAATTGTAAGTGCTAGTTAGTAACAAGCCTAAGCTTTTGGCCAAACATTTATAATTAATAATAATTCTCCATGTTGTTTATTAGGCAGCCAGTGGTCCTGATTAAAAATCCTGCCTACACATGGCACCCAACATGGGGAATATATATCCACATAAGGCCTGAGAAAGCTTTTTTAAAAAAAAGACTTCAGAACACAGAGTGAAATGCAACTTCCTGGTGATCAAGGTCTTGTGAATAGGCTCAATATAAAGAGACTGCCTGCACACTTGAGACAGTCACCATTTTGTGCTAAACTGAGCCACACTGGGTGGCTGACATAACATTTTAGGATTTGTCCCATGTGATCAGAAAACACTACAGATGCTCTGGAAAGACAGATTGAGTTGAAAAAAAAAACAAACAAACACTGTAAACAGATTACAATGTGTTTAAAACTGTATACAGGATTAACAAAGAAAAAAGAAAGGATATGGATAGTCATAGGAAAAATAGTTTAAAAATAATAAAGTCTTTAAAAAAAAGTAAAATAATAAAAAAATAAACCACATAGAAATGAAAAATACACAAGGCAATCTGGATCCTGTATGGTGTGGTTGGATTTTCAATTTTTTGATTACTGATAAACAATGGCTGTTGAGAGACACTGGATTATTAAAACTGCTAATTTAAACCAAACCATATATTTTAAAAATGCCCTAACTTCAAAATAAAAGTCAAAAAATATATGGCTTTGGGAAGGAGGCTATGCTTTTACTTCCACAAAAACCAAAAAGCTATCAAATCTTTCAAGGTTAAATAAGATCAGATTTAATTGAGGAAGATCCCCTGAAAATCCTGGCTACAGACATAAAAAAACAAAACAAACAAAAAACTGAAAAAACTACAAGACACATGATGCATATTTTATCTGCTCAAACATAAAACAAAAAAATCATCTTTGGATGAGTTTTGTACAATGCACAGTCTATACTTGTATTAATGCAGATATGTATGTTACCTTTCAAAGTTTATGTGTTTTCAGAGCAAGAGAACCAGACACCAATGAAATCAAAAGGCCCAGGTGATCCAACATCTCAGAGCACCACTGTTTCAGTTTCCTCAGAGTTCAGCATCCAGAACAGCTTCAAGGCTGTTAGCTAAGATGGTCCAGTCTCACAGATTTCCCCAGTCAGGCAGGACATTACCCTGATTTTCTCAGGATCTAAAAAGATTTAAGAGCTTTGTACAATGTTATCCCTTTGTTTGGACTTGTATTGGAGATAAAAAGAGACATAAGACAACAGAACAGGAAAAATAAAAATTCTAATTTTGTGGAAAAGTTCAGGGATTTTTCTGCCCATTTTCTTCTTCCTTTTGTAATTATTACAAGAATACTTAATGTTATCTTGTCATCTTTAGTTAACAATCTCCTGAAGACAGTCAAGAATTACATGTTTTCTACAAGATTATCTCTGAGAATAGAGGCAAAATTACTGATGCTATTCATCCCCAAGTCAATAAAAAGAGCTAGAAATTTTAACTTAAAATGAAAAAGGTACAAAAAATTGAAAAAGAATTCTTTCTACTTTCTGTCAATTGTGACCACGATCAGTAATTATTATTCTGTATATTAAACCTACTTTCTGCCTCATCTTTTGAATGGCAAAAGGGGATGGGGTAGGGAGAAGGACTATCACAGTTTGTCCATGAAAAGGAAAGCCCGTCATTTCAATGAATCTCCTGTGCTTATTTGTTATAACTACCCCTGATTTCAGTCATCACTTAATGGTGTTGATTTTAGAGAATAGTAGCTTACTTTAGTTTTATGAAACTGTTTTAATGCTATTGAGTTAAGTTTATTTTCCCCAGTTAATATATCACATTGAAAACTGTTTGAGGTGTATTTTACAGACAGCCTTAAGGCAGACTTAAGCTATGATTATAGTCAACATTTCGCTTGAGAATTGATTTATATTGTCAGTGTTTATAATGGGAAACACCACTTTTCAAAGATCACACTTTCAGAAAGCTCCCATTATAAATACGATATCACTGTCATCCAGTAGCAATACAACTGTAAAACATCTCAACACAGATTGAGAACAACTATTTATCAGTTTTCAAAACCATTATTTCTTTGTAATCTCATAATGATCCTTTGATATAAAATGAACCACTGCATTCCCACTCCTCCCAACAAGCTTTTAAATCCTTAAATTGACTCCTTGCTCCATGAAAACAAGAATTAGGTATCTGTGTGTTAAGTTTTAAAGATCTAAGACAGAGTGTTTAAGAGCTAAATGTCACAGTTTTTTCCAGACTTGGAACAAAGGCATTAACAAGGAATGACAGACTCCACTACCAAGAGTCCCACTGCAAGGAGATGGGTTTACTGAACTATCAGGAACGAATCGATTAATCTTTCTATCTTGATGAGAGCCTCAGGCAGTAAGATGAGAGAGACTCTTCAACAAAGTTTTCCCTTACTTTTCTTCAGTTGATTTTGGGTGAATCAGGAAAGATGAATCAACCATCCTTCTGGACGAGAAGGAGTAAATATCCTGGGTTAACTTTTGCCCTAACTTAAGAAAGTACCATACTGGAGGATCAGGAAGAAGTAAACACCCAGACACCTCAGACTGCAACCCCAGCCGCCAGAGCAACCACTTCCGGAAGCTCCGCCCCTCTCTAGACCAGGTTCCCACCACGCCCCCTCGCCAAGAGCCCAGACCTGACAGAGAACTACATTTCCCAGAATTCAATTAAACCTCATTGCAGGGCGCGTATAAGTGTCCGGGTGACGACATAAACCGGCGCGGTGTTTAGACTCCACTGATGTCGTGGCGCTCAGAGGCAAAAAGTTGGTGTTCTGAGGGGCCCTGGGACTGAAGTCGAGGTCCGGTGACCGTGGCCCTTTCCTACCCACTCCTCCTCGCCCGCCTTTCCCTCTCCTGGCAGGATGAGGCGTGCAGGCCTGGGTAAGAACAGGACTGAGGTTCGAAGTTTGGGGACCTTGGGACCTGTCGAGCAGGGAGGAGGGGCGTGGGAGGAAACTCTACCGGCCTTCTGTCAGTGACTAGGATTGGAAAGCGAACTGTTGGGGTTCTTTGAAGGAGGTACCAAGTGGAAGTGCATCATTTGTCCCAGATCCGAGCAGTTTCCTTAAGTTTAATTTAGAGGAAAGTTTATATGTTAGGTTGCACAGAGTGATGAAGTATTTATTGGTAGTCTAGATTTTTCTTTAGGTGCTAGTTTGGGAAGTAGCCTTGTTTCCCAAGCCTTGCTCTGGTTCCCTTTCTTTACTCCTTCTGGATCTTACTTTTCTTAGAAGTGACATTTGGAGAGTGGCTAGTAAACTCTAAACCCGCTAGTAATGATGTATTAGTTTGATTACAGCGAGTTACAAAGGTAAATGTATGCGTCATTATTGTTAAAGTGGCAGCTGTGAAAGGTCTGGGTCAAAGGAGATTTTCCTGGGACATTTCTGCTGTTAAGGCAATAGATGGTGATAAGCTTTTGATGACTTAACACTTGTTCTTGCCTTTATGGACCAGGAGAAGTACTAACAAGATAATTAGAATAGCACTTTCTGGTTCAGAAGTTCTCTATTAATATGTTTTGTTTTTATGAAGGAAGGGCAGAGTGCTTGGAAAAAATGAATGGAACGTTGAAAAGGATGTTACTATTCTGTCATAAGTTGAAAAAATTAAAAAAAAATTAAAGAAAGATTTAGGTGTTTAAAGCCAGTGAATGAACAAACACTTTAAATCAGACACAGAAAAACAAATGAAGCCTCTTTTGTAATCTAGAACTCCCTGCTAGGTATGAATTTTGATTGTATGAATAAGAATGCAATACTCATGACATTGCAGAGAGATGGTGGTATTTTTAATAAGGTTGGTTATAGGAATAGAGAGTGGGTAATTTAAAACCATAGGAAAATAATGGCAGTGAAAGGTGCCAGTAATACAGACTTACAGTTATCAGTAAGTTGCATGTGAAGCAATTTATAAATTTAGTTTTTTGAATGCTTGCAATCATTGGAAGAAAGTAGTCCATGTCAAATAACCTAAAGAACTAATTTCAAACAAGATTAGTCTTATATGCCTACATTCTTTTCATCATTAATGACAACAAACTTTATTACAACATAAATTTTATGTGCGTGATCATTTGTGACCCAGCGTGTGCTTCCCAAAGCTTCCAGTGTAACTGAGGAGCAGAAGACAGATTGCTTCTGAAGCAGAAGACAAATTATGATGCAAGATGGTAACTTTTCATCCCAACACCAGCTAGGTTCAATAAATAGTGAATGCCAAGGAGATTTAATACTAAATGAGTCATTGTGTACGTTCTGGAGCCAGAGGAACTTGAAGGATGCTGTTGACATGAGGGGTTGGGAGAAGTGGGTTCTAGATGGGAAGATGACAAAGATTCAGGAAGAGGGACATAAATGATGTGTACAAGAGATCATGGTGACTAAGTCGTCTTGAAGCTAAGACCCTGAGGCATTCTGAAGATCTTGTCTGTCCAAGGATTTTACATTTCCTCAGTAGGCCACTGGCCCTTTGGGACGTTGTTTGTGCTGTATTGTTTGTATTACATTCAGAGCAGGGACTTGACAATAGGTTCTCAGCTCTGACTGTGTGTTGGAATTACTCAGAAGAATATTAAATTAGATTTTCAATTCCATAAGAATCACTAGAGTCCCCTCCTAATTCCTCTTAAAGTACCTGTGCAGTTGAGAAGAGGGTAACTATTAACTACGCTTGTCATTTACATTGGTGTAAAGTTATGGCGACTTTTTTAAAGTATCAATGTGTGTTTACCTGAAATTTTAAATTCGAAATAATAGTGAATTTGATAGCCATTCATAGGTGAAATCTACGACACCACAAATGAGTTGTTAAATGAATTGGCCTGATTATTGGTAGAACATGCTTCAAGGAAGTAGAGTTTTTCAGAAATGACATAGACCGAAGATGACCTTCAGCACTTGTTTTTCTACAGCTCTTCATAGTAGTAATTCTCACAGAAAAAAATGGGGCTAAGCTTGGAATAGGAACTCGTGTATTTTTTATTAGTTTTGTTTGTTGTGTTTTTCTACATCAGGGTAGAGGATGGTTTGAAGAAAGATTAATTTGGAACTACATTAACAATTTCTGAATGAAAAGTGAGAATTTTACTTAAAAGAACAAAGTGGAAGAACTCTTAAAATTAAACTTATGATTGCCCAGAGAGTCAAAACAAAATAAATAAAATAACCATCAATTTTGAATGAAATCCTTGATGAAGTTATCCAGTGATTAACTTTAGACATTCCAAAATTACCTATTTGGCGATATGTCATCCCCAGATCCTTAGTCACATAAAGCAAGTTAAACATCTTGGATCTTGTTCAAGTTTGCACAGAATATTGTAAGTGATGATTTTAGTTGGTGAGTAGGGAGAAATAATTATGCCCAGTTCAACACCTTTTAATCTGTTTGAACCATGTATCGAGAACTTCAGGAATAGCATGCCTTGGAATATTCAACATTTTGTTGTGGTGATGGTGGCGGTGGCAGTGGTGGCTTTTGTGGTACAAGGAGAAATGTAGGTGTCTGATGCATAGAAAGTGCTCATTAGGCACAGGAGGATATAGAAGCACAAGACATTCTGCTTTTGACAAAGTTGCTTAACAGTAAATTAAAATTGTATTCTTTCATCAGTTAATTTCTAAGTATTCACTTGAAGTACTGTAGCGGTGGTAGTGGTGGTGGTGGTGGTGGTGGTGGTGTTGGTGTGTGTGTGTTTATGGAAATATAGAATGATTAACGAATAAATTTGGTTTATACTCTTATAGTTCAATCAAGAGGTCAGTGTTGGTGTTATACAGTCAAAGCTGTAAGGATTCAAGAGTTTTGCTACTTCAATAAAATTGGATTTGTGCTGAGCTTTGAAAGAGTTTCTTATTTACACATTAACCGCCCTTCAGCTGGCAGACTTACGCTACCCACTCTCTCAGCTGTTACTCTTACCGTTCTTACTACCGTTGCTACTCCATTTGCTGTCTGAGCCTGTGGTAGCCTATAGCTTTAAGGCTGTCCTTTTCTTCCTCCTTGGGTCCCTAAAGAAGCTGCTTCCAACCATGGACAAGACAACCTAGTCCCTTTAATACGTTCTGCACTCTTATCAAAGCATGCTAAAGTTTGGAGGCTTTGTTCTTCTGCAGTCCCAATATCAAAACTTCCAGTGCTAGGTCCACCCAACAGTATAGCTTCTCAGCGGCTGACTGAGACCAAGGAGCCCTTCTGTTGAGAGGTCTCCTATCTGGGAAGTCAGGCTAATCCAGTATACTGGCACCACCATGGTCAGTTTATTCTCCTAGAGATACTGACTGACTTTGGCCACTGTTCTTCATGACTTCCTTTAATTCTAGACATCCCTCTTCTTTACTGTGTAACCCACTTTCTTCCTTTACCAAGAAAATTATGGTATCAGTTTATGAAAACTTAGTGAACTAATACCCTCAGTCCCAACACATTTATGTATGTACTTGCTGCCTAATGCTCACTCTACCTCTTGTTTTCCTGGTGGGTGACTGTCAAGTACTGTAGCAGACAGAGTAATGGGTACTGTACTTTCCAAACCATCTTCTAGAGTGCAAATTCTGTAAAAATGGCAGAAAAATGGTAGCTTCTCGATTATTTGTTGAAAAATGAGTGAAATTCTTCAGAAATCTCAACTAATGACCTCTACCCGCCATTGCATCCATCCCTTTCCTCAGCTTTCACTTATGGCCTCCACTTCCCTTCGTTCCTTGGCTTTTCACCACTTGCTTCTTAGAAGAGAAGGTTGCTAGTGAAAAAACATCCTTCTGCCATGAGAACCCCTTCCTCCACGTTATCTCCCCCCCTTTCCTCTTACAGTCAAGCTTCTCTGACGGGGAATTAGATGGTTCTATGTTTATGTCCTTTATTAAAACATGTATTTCTAGTGTGCAAGAAATGTCTTCCAAATATCCTTGTATAGCAATGCCTGTTTTAGTGTCTGTTAAGCAATCAATAAGTGATCAATAAATGTGTATTGAAGAAAATGCATACTTTGCTTAAAAGAGGGTATGAAAAGAATTGTTGTAATCCCTGGTTCTGATTTTTAAAAGTTGATTTGTAGTGTGACTATTATAGATGTGTGTGGTCTGCAATGCCCTCCAGGGATCTTTTCCAGTTGGTTTTAACTACTAAGCTTGGGAAATGGCTTCTGGTTTTGCAGTTCTACACATGTGCCTCTGATCCTTGTAGGTGAAGGAGCACCTCCTGGCAGCTATGGGAACTATGGCTATGCCAGTAGTGGATATAATGCCTGTGAAGAAGAGAACGACAGACTCACTGAAAGTCTGAGAAGCAAAGTGACTGCTATAAAATCTGTAAGTCCAGAACGAACGCTGTCCACATTTTAACGTGTAGATTTGAACTTGCTCTCATCTTAGTGAGGAACTCATTTTAGAACTGTTGTACAATGAGGTCAAAGTGCACCGGAAGTTCAGGCTATCCATTAAGTGAGTTAGAAGATGTGGCAAGTGAAAAAATAGGGTACTTTTGTTTAATTTCTTTTCCCAAACCTTAACTGTATCTGGGTTTGTGTACCTAGAAAGATCTAAAATGTACTGTACATTAACGCAGTAGTTCAAACAGAGCCAGTCAGGCTTTCTATATAATTGTAGGTTATAGATAATGCTAACTTGTAATTTCTTTCCAGTTTGTTATTATAGTAAAGAAAAAATATTTAAAGTAATCAGTCTAGACTTATAATCAAAGAAATGCCATATTTTGTTAGTAAACTATTAAATGTGTATGTGTGTATTTGACTTGTTCATATGAATACTTGTACATTGTAAAATCTAAGGAATACACAGAAGAAAACATTTAATTTCTATGAATAAAAGAGAAAATCAAGTATGCCAGAATAACAGAACTAGAGAATGTTAACAAGTAGGTTGAATATTATAAGGAAGAGAAGAGGAGAATGTCACTGTTGGAAGGTGGAGCTCCAGGAGTTCAATTGACGAGAGAGAGGAGGGATTATGTGAGCAAGAGATATCGAGACCATGATTGGAAAAAGCACTGAGACAACTAGCCAAACTAGTGGAAGCACATGAACTGTAAACCAATAGCTGAGGAGCCCCCATGGTACTGGACCTCTGGATAAGTGAGACAGTTGTTTAGCTTGAACTGTTTAGGGGGCCCCCAGGCAGTGGGACCAGGACCTGTCCTTAGTGCATGAGCCGGCTTTTTGGAACCTAGGGCCTGTGCTGAGACACTTTGCTCAGCCTTGGTGCAGGGAGGAGGGGACCCGACCCGCCTCAACTGAATCTACCAGACTCTGCTGACTCCCCATGGAAGACCTTGCCTTGGAGGAGGTAGAAATGGGAGGTAGGTTGGGGGGAAAGGCTGGGGGGTGGGAGGAGGGAGGACAGGGGAATCCATGGTTGATATGTAAAACGAATAGAAAATCTCTTAATAAAAAAAATTTAAAAAATCCCCCCCAAAAGAAATAAAAATTTATTGTCCAATATTTCACTGGACAGAGTATCAGGAGAGCCACTGAACTAGCTCTTCCAGCCTTTGCTGCTAGTGGCTTAAATATAATACACAGATCTTTCTCACTTCCGTCTTTGAGTTGTGGGCTTTCTCGTGTTTCTCTCACATGGCCCTGATTTTTATGCATAGACCCCTGGGAGAATCTCTTAACTTGTCTCAGCTGCCCCTGGTCTACATGATGTTGTCACAGCCATTGGTGGAATTTTGTTAAAGCACATCCTGCCCTCTCAGAAGTCTTTGGATTCCCCTGTTACTTAATAGGTTAAGTTCATACTCTGTAGACTGATGGTGCTATATGTTCTTCAGAGAATGGCCCCAGCCTTTCAGAGCTTCTCTTCAACACATCCGAATGCATATGGATTTGCTACCAGACCAATGAGAGTTCTCTTGTTCTTTGCATACTGCTGTTGCCCTATTGAATATTTTAAAAATCAAACTGGGCCTTTAGCAATGTCATCATCTTCCTTCCTTTGAAGTTGTCTTCTTCATGAAAAGGTCCCATTGCTGCATCTGCCTCTGCCCGTGCTTTATCTCAGTACTACACCCAGTATTAACTCATTCCCTGTAAGCCTAAGATCATTTGTGACATGCAGTATAATTCCTTCTTAGCAATACTGAGTAAGTTTTTGTTAAAGGAATTATATAAAGTTATTTTAAAAGTATGTGTCATTGATTTTCTATTGCAATAAACATACTGTACATTTGTGAAGCATTCAATAGAAGCTCACATTGTCACATGTAATTGGTGTTTAATTTCAGTCATTGGAAAATTAAATTGTATTCAGCTTGTACTTAGAATAGAGTTTTGATATATGTGTATTGTTTCCAAAGTCATATTAATTAACATGGTTTAATCTATGGACCTAATAATGTATAATGTTAAGAAACATAACATTGGGAAGGACATAGAGTTGAATGTCTTAAACAAACAAACAACCCTCTGGTGTTGATTATTGAGCTCCGTGTTTGAAGATGGGAGATTGCCTTCTTTGGCGTGAATGTCATACTAAAGTAGTTGGTTGAGTCAGGCTACATGCTTTGTTATCTCTGACTGGATGAATTTGGAGGAAAAGATCATATCTGATCTCCATAACTTTAGTGTAATCCCATATCTGTATTATCTATGGTTTTCACACAGATTAAGTTGAGAAGAGCATTTACAATTGTTCACAAAGACCTTCAGTAATTAATTGTACTTAAGTTCCTTAGAAGGGATAAGCCAGTTCAGGCACCCTCTCCACTATTGCTAGTAGTCTAAGCTGGGGTCATCCTTGGGGATTCCTGGGAACTTCCCTAGCACCTGGTTTCTCCCTATCCCCATCATGTATCCCTCTATCATGGTATTTCTTTCATTGCTCTCCCACTCTATCCCTGTTCCATCTGGACCATCCCGTTCCCTTATGTTCTCACCCCCCATCCCCTACCCTTTATTGCCTCACCCCACCCCCAGTTTACTCAGGAGGTCTCATCTGTTTCCCCTTCCTAGGGCATGCCATACGTTCCTCTTTGGGTCCTCATTGTTAGCTAGCTTCTCTGGAGCTGTGGGTTGTAGTCTGATTATCCTTTGTTTAACATCGAGTATCCTCTTATGACTAAGTACATACCATGTTTGTCTTTCTGAGTCTGGGTTACCTCATTCAGGATAATATTTTCTAGTTCCATCCATTTGTTTGCAAATTTCATGGTGTCATTGTTTTTCACTGCTGAGTAGTCCTCCATTGTGTATATGTACCACATTTTCTTAATCCATTCTTCGGTTGAGGGGCATCTAGGTTGTTTCCAGGTTCTGGCTGTTACAAAATAGGGAAACCTCTGGTGAATTTGTTGTGTAAGGGATGAGGTATAATTTTGCGTAGTAGCTGTAATTACCTATACTGTTGTTCTACACACTCAAATTCTTTTTATATAATTTTAGGTTATAGATAACACTAACTTTATGGGTTTTCCAATTTATTATTATATTAAAGCCAAAGTCTTTAAAATAATGAATCTAGACTTATATTCAAATAAATGCCATATTTTGTCAGGAGAATACTAAATGTGTATGTCTGTATTTGAACTGGTCATGTGAGTACTTGTATTTGCTAAAATATAAGAAAGGAATATACAGGCGGATATTTTTATATGGCTGAAAAAACAAAAACATGGAATAAAGAATGCTAGAATAAGGGAGCCAGGAGGAGAATGTTAACACAGAAATTAAATAATAGGAAGAGAAGGGAGAATATGGTCATTGCTGGAAGGGAAAACTTGTTTTTGTTTGTTTGGGTTTTGTTGTTGTTGTTGGGTTTTTTTTGTATTTTTGAGACTAGGTTTCTCTGTGTAGTTTTGGTGCCTGTCCTGGATCTCACTCTGTAGACCAGGCTGGCCTCGAACTCACAGAAATCCGCCTGCCTCTGCCTCCCAAGTGCTGGGATTAAAGGCATGCGCCACCACTGGAAGGGGAAATTTTTAAGTTTATTTTCTAATAATTTCACTGGACAAAGTGTCAGGAGAAAGTATATATTTCTAGAACATAATTTCATCTGAGAAATTAAATATGCGTAGTATTGCATTGTTGCTTTTACTTTATCAATCTAGAATGCCTTCGTGTAAGTAGTAATGTATATGCTTTCTTCATAGCTTTCCATTGAAATAGGCCATGAAGTTAAAAATCAAAACAAACTATTAGCTGAAATGGTAAGTCATTATGATTTTTACTAAGAAATTTTATCTACTGTTTTCAAATTTAGTCTGTTGACTATTTATAAGGAATTACATTTTTAAAACATTTTTTGTTAACAACTTTATAAAGATAAAATTTATCTATTCTCTAATACTTTTAAAAATAATGTTTTAATCCATTCTTCAAGAATTTCCTGTGATGTGTTTTGAGTCTATTCAGCTCTCCTGGCTCCTCCTCTTTACTGCTCTCGGCACGCCCCCCATCCTTTCTTTCTTTTTATCCAGTTAAAACAGACCCTGACATTGTAAGTCCTGATGGATTCCACTCCATTTTTAGCTAATTAGTTTATAATTTCTAGCGAATGTATTTTTACATTGTTCTTGTCAAGATGTAAATAAAAAGTGAAGATGGAAGCCAATGTATTTTAATCCTGGGAATAAAGCACTGTTAAAGACTGAAGGCTAATGGCTATTTTGAGTGGTCTTAGAAATCGTAATGGGTAGACCACTAGTAAAAAAATCAAAAAGCACTTTATCTCCAACCAACTAAATGCTTTTCACTTAACAGACGCCTACTCCTTCAGCTTTATTTCTTAAGGATTACTGCTGAACAAATCCCTCAGATTTGAGTAGACAAGGTCCCTTTGTTTCTAGTCTAAACAAGCTCGAGAGCACGTACCTTTTCTTCTCAGAGCAGCCTTCCAATCACTAATGCTACCTTTGGATACACAGCTTCTCTAGACCCTCCTTTGTTTCTTCACATGCATTCAAAACAACTGTCTAAAAGCAAATATGGCATTGAAAGCAGTGGTCTTTGAAAATGGATATTCCTGTTTCTTTCTTTTAATAAGCTCATTCAGAATCACATGGAGAGGAGCCCAGGCATGTATATTTTGTGAAAAGCATCCCAAGTGGTTCTGATGCAGTGACTCCTATGAGGAAGCAAGGGTTTCAAGTGCATGAGCTATGTGGAGACTAAGCTATGCAGAGCCTCATTATGCTGGTGCCTTCTCATCTCAGGATATTGAGATTTGAATGCAAGTGCGTTGTTTGTAACCTGTGCCTAGGCTGCTTATCTCTAAGGCTTCCCGGGCTCTATTTTAATTTGGCATTTTTCTTATATGGATTTAAATCCTCTCTACTTATTGCTCCATCAACATTTATATTCTCTTAACTTTTAGTAAATTTCTCTGTATTTCAAAGTCATCTGTCTAAACAAAAGGCTCTACCATTTTCTGTGCTAACCATATGAAATTTTAGCTGAAGTCCTCGTATCTAAACACTCCCACATTTGACCTTGGGAAAATAGTGCCTCAACAGAAAGTGGACAAAGACCAAAGACATGCTGGATAGCACACAAATGACTTGCCTGTATTGTTAATGGCTTTTTATCCATATAATTGAAATAAGAAAGACCTAAATCGTTTGAGCTTTTTTAATTACGCTCAGGAACCGAAAGAAATGCTTATTGGATAATGAAAGAGCCACTAAGAAAACTGCTTTATTTTGCATGGAGTAATCAGACTGATTTCCCAAGCTAATAAATAGATACTTGAATTGATTAAACATACAAATTATCTTTTAAAATACGTACTAATAACCATGTGTAAATTGCTTGAATGAACATGTGTAGAATATTAGAATTTATTATGTTTTTCCTATTCTCTCATAGGATTCGCAATTTGATTCTACAACTGGATTTCTAGGTAAAACCATGGGAAGACTGAAGATTTTGTCCAGAGGAAGCCAAACAAAATTGCTATGCTATATGATGCTGTTTTCATTGTTTGTCTTTTTTGTCATTTATTGGATTATTAAACTGAGGTGATGCAAGTTAGTGTGGGCTTGGAATCTGTTTCAGTTAATGTCTTGGGGTACCACTTTGATAGCCCGCATCCCAACATTCCTGATGGCCTTTTTCATTGAGGATTACTGGCGCTTTCCTCTTTCAGAAATCATGCTATACCATATAATGTTTTTTGACTACTGTTCCTTATTCACTCATTTTGACCTCTGTTTTCAGGGGTATTGAGTTAGCCTGAAGTCAGTGTGGCTGTACTAATGTTTTTCCAGTCAGATTAAATTCCAGTATCATACCCTGTTGTTACATAAGTGTAACTCTCTGAAGCAAGTGGGAGAGCAATCGAATGCTAGAGAACCTGACATCAGCTTCTGTGGTGCTTTTTGATGGTGGTAGAAGTGGGAGAGCAATTGAATGCTAGAGAACCTGACATCAGCTTCTGTGGTGCTTTTTGGATGGTGATAGAATGTTCCCTTTCTTTTGCTTGATGTCATCGTTGGGATGATGCGCTTTCCCTCACTTGTTTCCATCTAGGTACCAAGTTTCTTTTCCCTACAATTTTCTTAATACATTTGTTCATGTGAATTCTTTGTATACAGACTTCCTTGAGTAAAGCTATTGACATATTTCTATGGGCGCCTACTACACGTGTACATCAACATAGGTATTGTTTTATATTAATGATGAATTCCATTGATCTGCTTTAGAAAAGTTTTCTGATGTCTAGCTGCTTTGGTGGGCCATTTGATGATTGTTTGTGTCAGAATAATGTGAAGCTCAGTGATTGCTAAACTCTGTGTAGAAATGAAGTGTTCAGGAAACTCAGTGGCCTCTGTTCTCCTGTGTGCTCAACACAGGGACTGAGAATGTGCAGGCAGTGAGCCCCAAGTTCAGATCATTGTTCTCCTCCAGTCTGTCTGCTTATAGAAATCACAACACGAGGCGGATTAGTACAAAATAAGTACTATTCAAATATTGTAAAACATTCTGTATTGATCCTGCTGTAGAAATTTGCCTATTTCTAGGTTCACAAATAAACTTTTATGAAAATATATTTGTGGCTTCTCTAAATGTCTTATATTCGTGACACAGAATCTAAGAAATATCCCAAAAGCTCAGATTTTGAACAAAATGAATCCAAATGAACATTTGTATTAAAGCAGAAGAGGTGAGACAAATTTTGACTGCAACTTCAACATCTTTTGATTCTTTCTCTTTTTATCATGAGTCTACTCCTTTGGGCTGGAATGCATTTTCAATTCTTTTTGCTTATTTATAATTTCCTACAAGTTCAAGAACTTTTTTGTGGTGTGTCATTTGAGCCTATCTTTTCCAGGTCACAAACACTAAATCTGAGTGCAGTTAAATGACCTGAAGAGACAGGGCTGAGATGTAGGGAAAAAATGCTAATTAGTGGGATTTAGATGTCTGCGTTCCAGTCAACACACACACATTCTTCACTTGTGTGACGATTGTAGCCTCCATTTCTTCATTTTACATTTTTACAGGCCTGTGAGATATCCATAGCACAGTGTAGAGGAATGCTTCTGATTCACCAGACAGTAAGTGTTATTAACGTCCATATTCAATAGCTACTGTTCATTATTTTCAAAATCAGACAGTAGTTTGGTTTCAGATCTTGAGATGATGATACAACCTCTAAGCAGGTATTTCCATTAGGCATTCAGAGTGTGACTAATGTTTCAAGACATTTTTAACTGTCCTCTGCCAATTGTATGACATTAGAGCTTAAGACTTAGAAGTCACCATCAGTAATTTAAGTTGTTGTTGGGACTTGCCAGATGGAAACACCAAGAGTCCCATTGGATGAGGTAGAAGCGATTCTCCTACAGCATCCATCAATCTCACATTTTTATTTTTGTGGAGAACTCAGCCTGACATTACCCATCACTCCTCTATCACGGTGTGCTGAGATGCCTGCAGGCAAGGAACTCCTGGAAGTACTCACCCCCACTGCTCCACTCAGAATCTTTGGCCAATATTCTATTTCCTTTTGTTTGGAAACCTTTAGGAAGAAGCATTCTTGTGATCATTTTGCGGAAAATGTAAAATATGAAAAAGTCCTATTCCTTTACAGTAGTTTATAAACTCATTGCTAATTCTCTAAGTGATGTATGACATTTTAGAGAAGTTGACTGTAATCATTGGCTTGATAAACTGTTCACATTATATTCTTTATTTGAATTGCCTGCAACTAACAGGTGTTTGGATTATGTGTAGGACAGCAGATATCTCTATTTTGCGTGGTAAAACAATTTAGAAAGCAACTTAAGAATCCCAAATGTCCAAGTTTTTCCTAAAATTTAGTCACTTTTAATTCACTAGATGTTGTTCCTTAGAAGTATAACAAACATTTGCAAATAATAGAAACTACAACTTATGGATATAATAGGCATCTATGAGTAGGAAGGAGTGAGCTACGTATGTTATTCACGCCATTTAAATTATTATACATATTCTTGAATATTGTTTGAGCTGAGAATTAGTTAAATCTGACCTGCAATATTTTGATGTAGAGCTAGAAGCTTGAAGTGGCACCCGCATCCAAGCTTCTGGTTCTATAAAATTGACTTTACTATATTGGATTTACTTAGTGAGAAAGTTGAAATAATGCTTGATAATTGGAGCTCAGTCATCAGGCTATATTGAGGGATAAACTTGCACTGGCAGGCAGAACTGCTTCAGAACTAAATTGCCTGACTGCGCCCGCCTTCTGATTTCAAGCTGATAACCCATTTGACTCACTGTATTTGTGAGACAGGAATCAAAATCACATACAGAAGTAGGACACTCTGAAGCTTTCTGTGACAATTGAATGGAATCCCATTTGAAGAGTCAAGAGGAGGCGCTTGGCAGGTGTTCTTTGTTGAGGTTCTTGGAATTCTGGTCTGTCACACCATCTCATATGCTCCAATGAATTTTGGCTTTCTCCTCCCACTGTCTTGCCAGTACCAAAAGTTAACTGTCTTTTCTAGGAATTTTCTGGGATTTAGTTGATTTAGACTTGTTTGCATCATCAGCAATCCTGATGGAGTTGTGTTTCAATCTCTATCCTGGTTTGAGTTATTAGAGTGAGAACAGACCTTCCAACATTCTAGAAGCAAATGTTTGACATGAGAGGAATAGAAAGTTGCTGAGTTGTGCAGCACCAAGTCCTACCAACCTTTGTTTAGTCTTCAAGGTGAATAGAAAGTTAGAAATACACACAAGATGCTTTTAACCGAACAAGTCAAACATAGTAGATCTGACTTTAAAATTCATGTAAACTTAGTTAATTATAACATTTGAAACTAAAGTGTAACTGAAATATAACCACATTTGTATTTTAAGTGTATGTATTCTACAGATTTTATGGCACGTAGTGCTTTTAATGAATTAAGTCAACTTTGCAGGCCTCAACAAGGGTCAGTACTATACAATTGTATATAGTTGGAATTTTACATATTTATATTCCTGCTGTGCTTTCTCAAGTATCTATTACTGTGGTATGGCTCATAAGAATGCACAGCTGAATCTGTGTAGATTCTTTGATGCCTATAATGAATTTAAAAATGAGCAGAAACACGAGACATCATTTTTTTCAAAATATATAAAACATTCTAATATATAAAAGCTTTAAGTAATTGATTTAAATTTTAACATAATATAATTATTCTTTTCTCCTGAATCCTTTTCTCATTTGTCAGTAATGAATAAGTGTTCTAGAAACTGATAACTTATTAGACTTTTGCATTATTTAGTAACCATTTGCTTTGGAACATTCAAGATAAACTCTTTCTTCCGGGGAAATTAGATGAGTGTTATGTGCAATAGTGTGTTTCAGAAAAATTATTGAAATAAAGTGCATTGGACTCTTACAGATTTTATGCTTGGTTGTTTAAAAAGCCTCCTTTTAACATTTTAATTTCACAGTTAAATTTAAATATTGAAGGGCATTAGAGGCAAGTTGCTTTTCTTTACACACACACAAGACAATTATAAGATGTATGACTGGTGAAGTCAGCTAAAGAGATTCATACAGTTAGATTAAAACCCTTTCAATAATTAGTGTATTATCTTTTAGATTATTGCTTTAAAGACAAGTCAATTTCAGAGTAGTATGTGCTAGTCAGCTCCATTAAACTGTTTACTTTGCATTTATTTCTCATGACTAAATAGTTTGAATTTAATTGTGTTATTTCTAGAATGGATTTTAATACTCAGAGAACTTTTATTATAAAGTGACCAATGGGATATAGAAACTCTGCTTTTCTCGATGACAGTGGTTTGGCTGAGTGGAAACTGAGTATGAGGGACATAGACTAGTAATGATTCCAGCAGGAGACTAAAAAAGAACAAAAGTATGTTTATTTTTCCACAGCCAGTATCATAAGGCAACTGGTGACAGCATGCTCTGGTCTGTGAAGTCTGGAGAGGCACCACACATGACAAAGTTTAGTTGGCCAGCACACTGCTTCACAGTGTGTTTCTGCTTCTACCAAAGCGCTGTTTCTCAGAGGTCACCTTCTAAACTTTATATTCTTTAATTAACTTAGGCACAGAAGCAAAGCTAACTCATAGAAAGCATTCTAACAGTCACATTCCTAGGGCCACAGCGAGTTTACTGTGTCTAAGTCCTTTGTGCCAGCATTTATTCTAGAGTAGATTGACAGGGAGGTCTCCTGTAGTCAGGTTTATAATGCGATGTGTGTATGAGAAAGTGAAAAGGAGGGGTGAAGGGACAAACCAGCAGAATCTAGGTTTCCATCACTGTTCCATTTTGTAGTCTGGCCTAAATTTTATTAACCTAGTTCAAAAGATGTAGGCACTTTATAAACAGGTAAGCACTATAAAATATATATTAAGTGGTTTACTTAATAAAACATTGAAACAATTGTTTTATTCAAAATACAGTTTTTCTTTTGTTCTTAGTAATTGAATGCTATATTTTCAGGAAATTTAATCAATTTCAGATTAAATAGCTTTTATGGGTATTAACTTATGCTAGATAAATTAAAGGGATTTTTTTCACATAATATGAATATTTCAATTTTTTAAATTACTTTCTTATAAACATACATTCATATTAGAACTGTAACATCAAGTATGTAAAAGTCATGTTTTCCTTATCAATGATCTTTTTATAAACTGTTAGAACTTGTCTATAATTTTCTAATTTTGGTATTAATCCCTAATAATAAAGTAGAATAAAGAAGAAATTTTGAGAATCAAAAATAAAAATGTTGGGGCTGAAGAGATTTCTCAATGACTAAAAGTACATACTGCTGTTCCAGAGGACCCAAGTTCAGGTCCCAGCACCCATGCTAGCTCCATGTTAGATCTGATGCCTCTAGCCTCTGAGTGCACTTGTGTTCATATGCACGTACCAATAACACAGAATTAAAATAACAAAAGTCTTAAAATGATTTTGTTGAATTAATTCTAGAATAAAGTCTTTGGTGTATAGCAGTGACGGGACCTCCTGTTCAATACCTGTGCTTTCTGTCAAGCATTCAGTGCAATATAGACACCAACACATGTTTGAGGACTATATTGATGTTGGAGTAAGTATTCCTGCTAAAGAACACACCTTTATTTTTTTCATCTCTTACTAAAAATTCCAGTACTGAGCCAATGGAAGGCCTGTAATTAAATTGTGGGTTTGGTCAATAAAATAAATTTACTTTCTGGGTTTTAAATTTTGAATATTGGTAGAACAGCATATAGCCACTAGGTTATTTGGGGTATGAAATTTTTGTTAATTTAAAATTTTTCCTATAGTATTCTCATAAGGCTGAGAGTATGTGGGTTAAATTGAATGTCTTGTTTATAAGGTCAAGAATGGATGTAATTTAAGCCAAAGGGGAAGAATAATCGAAGAAAATTGTTCTAATATTCTTCCTATTCAATCAGAATTCACATTTCATGATCAATGACTACTCTTACCCAAGTTGATCCTTTAATTAATAAACTCCATTCCAGAAAGCCTAAATTTTCATTTTAAAATGATCAATTATTTGCTCTATTCCTAAATAATAAAACTTAACTGTTGAC